CATGACCTGAAATTATTGGCGGAGTCTATGTGTCTTTTGAGTTTTCATGTACCTACAGAAGACTCTTTATCATCTGCATGTGGATTAGACACACGACTTTTATAACCGCATACTCGTATAAGATTTGTAACCACTGTCCAGTGTAATTGATAATAGTTGTTTTTAATGTTTCATCCTTTATATGTTTCAGTCAAAACGACCATCTTCAGAAGGATATTATCAATACATATGGAAACTACTGTCACATGTCATAGATATATATGTTATATCATTTAACTAATATTAAGATGTTTAAGGTCTTTCATTCTGGTCCGTCACACTAACAAATTAACAATCAAGTTCCTTCCGTCAAATGTGACACTTTTATAAGTTTTCCACCTCGTCACCACCTGCTTTACATGTTTCGGCTCACCACGGAGCCATCATCAGAGGCATTTATAGTAGAAAAAGAAATCACCAACACACAAAACTTCACTTTGTTAAAAATAGCCACGTTCCAGTTAATTAAAATAATTACAATAGTTAAAATTGCCGAGAGTGTCGGTTCACTAAAGGTTTTCCACACACCACGGTAGCTTTCTTATTTAATTCGTCGTTAATTCTGTAAAAATTATGTTTCGTTATTTGAAGTAAGAATTCTTAAAATTCCTAGAATTCTTTCCCGCTTGGCCCAGTCTTTTTTCTTCGGGATGTTGTTGACGTGTGTTGTCTGTAGGTTGTTGATGTTGCTTGTCTGTGTGTTGCGATGCTNAACAGACTAATTGTATTAATATTTAGATGTTTTAACAAATCGATGTATATCTTTATATTAGTTAAAAGATATAACATATATATGTATGACATGTAACAGCAGTTTCCATACATGTTGATAATATCCTTCTGATGATGCTCATTTTGACCGAAACATGTATAGGATTAAAATTAAAAACAACTTTTATCAATCACACTGGCCAGTGGTTAAAACCCTTACATACAGTTACTAGTGTGACGGACCAGGATGAAACAAGTTACTTTTATAACCCATTACAAATGTTTCAGTGAGATATCAGTGGTGCTTTACAATGATTTGCAGTAGACTGTACATCTTCCGATTCTGTTGCTTGTGTAATTTTACAGCTTTTCATACTGGCCTATAACTGAACAAGGGTTTCTTTCTTCCCTTGGAAGGTTACATGTCACACTGCTTAGTGACCAACTTGCAGGCTTGAATGCAGCATGGATGGGGGGTGTACAATATTGCTATTGCAATCACGAAAGGCCAAATATAATTACTTCATGACTGATTTAGCTTAGAGGCTGTTCATCTGGCTCAAGTCCTATAAGCAAGCGACTAATCACTAGAAATTGTACTTTCCAGCTTACAGGTGCCAACAGGTTACCTAAGGAAGCAGAAGAACCACTGTACTCATTTGAATGTGACATGAACTCTGTGGCCTTCCTTCCAGTACACATAGGCACTGTCGGCAGCTGCAAGCTGTGTCTTATTTAAAAATAGAGATGATATTCCAGACAGTAAGAAACAATAAAAACATAAG